AACAGGGCATGGGTAAGAATTAAACCTTGGATCACTGCTTTGGGGGCACTATCTTTTTTCCTAGATGCCAAAAATGATTGTATCTCCCGCACCTGCTGGATCCTCACTGCCATCCTGCGTAATTTCAAACTGACGTCTAGAGTCACCCTTACCCTTTTCTCCAAAGAGCCAACACCATGTCTCCAACCGTGGGCCAGACACCAGGGCATCAGAGCTGACGGTGCAATCCCATTATTTATGAACAACTGACTCACGTCATGTTGCAACAGGCGTACTTTTCCATCCACTGTGGCTGAAAGTCAGTAAACTTGTAGTAACAGCGGTAATAAAGAGAAGGCCAGGGCAGCAGTGCATGAAGCTCTGTCTTAGGTCAGGGCCTCACCCTCTTCAGGAGTAGGAAGCCCATAGAGGGTGGTGCGGACAAGGATGGTGGGGTAGGGGAGGGCCTACAATGGCCTCAGTTACAGAAGAAGACCCCATTACAGATTCGTTTCTTCAGGTAAAGCATTATCACAGCTCCCTCACCTGCCTGTCCCCTTCCTCCCTAATTTTTTCAACAAGTTGGAAAACTCCTACATATCCTTCAAGGCCTAATTTCTGGTGTCCTTCCCCCAGTTCCAAGGTTCAGGTGCATTCCAACCCTGAATTTGGCAGACCACAATGACGACAGAAAAAGATGTTTGGGGTTAATAGCTGGGCTTGGGGGGAAAAGCCAAAGCTCCCCATGGAGGGAATGTAGAGGCCCGCACAAGATCTGCTCCTCTGTGGGGTGCGCTGAGCGCTGTGGCCTCTAGGCTGTCTTGCCAGATTCCCAAGTGAGGCCTCAGAATCCCAAGGCTTCCCTGGGCCTCTGGCTGCACTTCTCAGACTGGTCGGTTATCCCTAGCCCAAGTCCATGGGAATGCCACCCCTTCTCCCACAGCTGCCAGGAGCCTGGCTTTGGACTTCCTTAGTTCTCCCGTGCACTGGAGAATTTATTTATTTATTGGATGTGCTTCTTTATTTTATTTATTTATTTATTTATTTATTTAATTGCTCTGGGGAATTTTAAAAGGCTGCCTGCAGAGGGCACTATTTTCACCAAGAGAGAACTCACTAGCAGAGGAACTGGCTGCCTTGGGAGAGCAGCCCTGGGAGGTTTCCTTTGAGGATGGAGGTCTGATGGGGATGACTCCTTCCCGGAACTCTCCAATCGCCTCATGTGGCAGCTGTGCTTTCAATCTGGGAGCTGCCTCTTTGGGTAACTCTGGAGGCAGCTGGCCTGAAGGTTCTTGCCAGGGGCCTCTTAAGCACCCCTAGCAACCAAGGTAATTCAAAGTAGGGGACAGAGACCCAACTTTGAATTAACTTGAGTCTAATTAGGAAAAGCTCCAGCTCTGGCTCCAAGAGTCACTCCTCACCTCTGGGTCTCAGTCTCCCCATCTGTGTGCACTGAGAAATGGTGCATTGGATGTGTTCATCTACTCAGCACATGTTAACTGAGCACTTACTACACTCTGATCTCTGGGGAGAGACCATGGAACGAGAGAGACAAAAGGCCTTGCCCTCACAGAGCTGATATTCTAACAGGGAAGACAGATGGCAAACAAGATTAAGGAGTGAAATCTATAGGCTGTCAGAAGGGAATATGAGCCATGGAAAATGAAGCAGAGAAGGAGCGGGGGGACATGGCTGCTAAGGCTTAGTCTAGCTTAGAGACTCTGAGTCTAAAGCTCTTACTCTGCTGGATCCTTGTTAGGAGTCAAGAATGGTGGCAGGAAACTGGGCAGGGCCATGCGTGAGTACAGGGACAGCGCTCAGGGGTGGTGGGGATGGTAGGCTAGAGCCCCAGTCAGTCTCTCAGCGGCTTCCTCCAGGAAACAGAACTGACCAACTCCGGGTATGCTGGCCTGTCCTCAAAGGCAAGCACCTGGATCTGCTGAGGAGTCCAGGAGTCACACAGGGTTCCTGGCAGGGCCCCAAAAGTCCTGACTGAGGGGAGGATTTCTTCAAAGCAAGGTGGGCAGCATCCTCAGGGCACTGCCAGGGACTCTTCTACATCCCTCACTCTACCGTGGCCTTCGATGAACAAGGCACTGGCCACCTCCAACTACAGGGGCTCTCAGACCCTTCCTTCCCTCCTACTGATCCTCCTCTGCATGGTAGGGTCTCCCCTCCCCTTACATGGGGAGGGAGGGAGAGGAATTTGAAAGTTCTGGCTGGGCATGGTGGATCACACCTGTAATCCCAGCACTTTGGGAGGTAGAGGCAGACAGATCACTTGCACTCAGGAGTTCGAGAACAACCTGGGCAACATAGTGAGACCCCACCTCTACAAAAAATACAAAAATTAGCTGGGCATGAGGGTATATGCTTATAGTCCCAGCTACTAAGGAGGCTGAGGTGAGGAGGATAGCTCGAGCCCAGGAGGTGGAGGTTGCAGTGAGCAGAGATCATGCTACCGCATTCCAGCCTGGGCGACAGACCCTGTCTTGAATATATATATCTGACCAACCCAGAGTTGGTCAGTTCCGTTTCCTGGAGGAAGTCGCTGAGAAACTGACTGAGGCTCAAGCCTGTGCACAAACCTAGCATCGTCACCACCCCTGAGAGCTGCCCCTGTACTCATGCATGGCCCTGCCCAGTTTCCTGCCACCATTCTTGGCTCCTAACACTGGGCTAAAAAAAAAACACACACACACACACACAAAAAAAAAACTCCCCCCATTTCTTATGAATTCACAATTTTTCTCTTCCTGTAGGGATTATTTTTGAAAATATGTCTTGCAAACCTTCTGTGTATTCAGGATGAGTAAGGGATACCAAGATGCTGAGAAAGGACTTACCGCCAACCGGGGAGGCCGGGCTAACACACATGAGAAAATAGCAATCCGCACTTACAGTTTGCTTTGCAGCCCACAGAGTCCTTTGGAACCACTTACTATGTCCTAAAACCACGCAAAGCCTGTTGTTCTCATTTTACAGATGAGGAAATTGAGACCCAGAAAAGCACCTTCTCTTCCCCCAATAGTAGCTGCCCCATGGAGTGGTGAGGAGAGAGAGGAGACAATGAAGATTAATGTTTCCAAATAATTCCATTCCAATTCTTACCCCTGGAGGGATGCGTAAGAATTCTACATAAAGGGACAAAGTTGCTCTGCCTCCAATCTAGGGTAGGGCCAAGCTGGGCATGGAACCCACTAGCCCTGGCCTCTCCTTGGCAGGACCAGGGTAAAGCAAAAGGCCCCTGTCTGTCTGGAAAAGCACATGGGGGCGGGACGAGGTGGCTTACACCTGTAATCCCAACACTTTGGGAGGCCAACTTGGGTGGATCATCTGAGGTCAGGAGTTTGAGACCAACCTGGCCAACATGGTGAAACCCTGCCTCTACTAAAAATACAAAAATTAGCCAGGCGTGGTAGAGAATTCCTTGAACCTGGGAGGCGGAGGTGGCAGTGAGCCAAGATCTCACCCTTGCACTCCAACCTGGGTGATAGAGAGAGACTCAGTCTCAAAAAAAAAAAAAAAAAAAAAAAAAAACCGAAAACAAAGAAAAGCACATAAGATTAAGGATATTCTCTTGGTGTAAAGGAAAAATATTGCCCCACGTGGGTAAGGGTGCCAAGGGATCTCAGTGGTGGGGCTGGACACCTTTCTGATCCAGCTTTTCAGAGTGCCCTTTCTGCTTGCCAAGGGCAGAGGTAAGGCAGTTGGAAAAGAAGCTTTGCTGTTGCAGACTAATCATTCCATTCTCACAGAGTACCTTCCTGTGTGCCAGGTACTATGGCTACGGCAGGGAACAAAGCAGGTACCTGCCCTCCTGGAGTTCTGGGAGCTTAGCAAGGCTCTGGCTGGCTCTTGGAGGACTTTCCTGACTGGAGTTTGTGCCTGCTCGGAGGTGCCCTCTCCCCTGAACCTCTTTCACAGGAAGAACCTAGCGGGGTGGGGAGTAGGGGGAAGGAAACCAACCTCTGCTGAGTCAAGGGCACTGCAAGAATGCAGAAGCAACCATCCCGCTCTGGAAGGATGTGGTGGGAAATCCGCCACTCAGTGGTGGAGAAAAGTCCACCAGTTTCTCCAGCAAATGGCTGAGTCTCGTTGGGCCTCCTTGTCTTCTCATCTGCCCCTGTGCTAATATCTACTTGCCATTGGTTTGTTAGGTTCAAATGAAATCAGGGATATGTCCCTGTTGGCTGCTAGTTCTTCTCAGATCCCCTGACCTCTCCCCATCTCTTTTCTATGGCTCTGCGTGGGAAGGGGCAGTTGTCACCCCCAACTCCCACTAAGCTGAGCCCTCCTCCCAACCTAAGCGGGAGGAAGCCGGTTCTGTTCACGGATGAGAGTTACCGGGCTCCTGAATTCTTGCTCCACTGGTGCTGGGGTCCACCCCCTCTCCTGGGCTTATCCGACTGGGACTTGGGAAGTGCCAGGGGAGCCAAGAGATGTCCAGCTGGGGGCTGTGGCCAGGGGGTAGGCCAATGACAGAGCACGGGGAACTCCCTGTAGCTGGGCACCCACTTCAACAGGGGCCCCCGCAGGCAGAGGGCCGCCCCTCACCCACACGGTCCTGCTAAGCCCAGGCTCGCATCTGGGCTCAGGAGGCGGGAAGCACAGGTGTAAAGAAATCGCCAACTGTGCAGCCTCAATCCAAGGGTTTTATTGAAGTGGGGGTGGCAGGAGGGGGGCGGTGGAGGAAGGGTAAGCGGCGCAAACGCCCTGGAGACTGAGAGAAAAGGTGCTAGAAGGCAACAGTCCCCCTCACCGGCCTCGATTGCAGCAGAGAGCCTTCTGCACGGCGGCGGCCGCCCCACCTTCACACCGGCCCCGCGTGCGGTGAAAGTGGCCGCACCGCGCGGCCGCCGGATCAGCACCGCCCCGGCACAAACTTTCCCAGACCCGCCCTTGGAGTGGCCACCCGGGCTCCACGGGCGCAGGGCGGCTGGGGCGGCCGCGGAGGGCGGGTGCGCGTGGACCAGGAGGTGAGGAGGCGGCGCGCGGCGGGGAGTCCCGCCCCCGGTTACCTGGGTTCCGAGGGTCTCGGGAGTCCATTGGACAGGGCGCGGGGACAGCACAAGCAGGCCGGAGACCGGTCACTTCTCGCGGGCTGCGGCGACCCCGGACTCTCGGGCCCTGCACCTGGCCCTGCGGGTCGCCGCGCCTACCCATGCCGGTCCCCGCCCGTCCCCTCCCGCACGGGGCGGGGCGGCCCCGGGGGAGGAGCCGAGGGCCGTGGGCACCACTCCCTGAGCCAGGCCTGCGCCTCATCACGTGTCACCGACCCTGGGCTCTGTGACCTCCAAAGACTCGCCACCGCACTCCACAGTTTGAGGTGCAACCCAAGCCAGGAGCCCAGGGGAGTCTCTCACACCCCATTCTCCTAGGGCTCATGTACCCCAGGCCCACCTCCACCCCAGGAGCCGAAGGCCGACAGGGACCCTGGAGAGCCTCCCTGATGGGAGAATTGCGGAGCTTGCCCCTCGGAAAAGTGCATGGGGTGGAGCACAGGGAAGGAGGAATAAACAACTGGCTATCCGCAGCCCCACGGCAGTGTCCCCTTGGCCGGTGGGAGAGGCTCCTGGCCGCTCTGAATCCTTGAAATGCGTTCCACCACTGTCTCTTGGAGTGCTCAGGGGGGTGGACCCTTTGCCAGCCCTCACTCTTTCTACAAGGATCCTGTCCCAGGTCACAGGCTCCTAGACTGGAAGGTGCTGGGCCTGGACCTCTGCCACTCAGTGGACACAGCGATAAGAGATGAATGGACACAGAGGACAAAGAAGAAACATTTGGCTTCATGGAACCAGACTCTGTGTCCTCCCAGGTGCTGAAGGAACAGGTTGCAGCTGCCTGGTACCCCCACCCGGGCCCTGCTAGAGAAAGGCTGGAACATCCACCTCTGCAGACTGGTCCCCCACCAGGCTCCTTCCTCCCACCCTTCAGCCCCAGGCTCTCTGAGCTCCTGCTCCTCCCTGCCTTGCCTTGTTTGCCGAGGGCGCAGACAGTGGAGAGAGCACAGGACTGGGAGTCCGGAGACCTGGGCTCTAGTCTACTCTGTGACTTGCGTCAAGTCTCTGGCCCTTTGTGGGCCTAAGTTGCCCCGTTTGCAGTGAATAGGTTGCAGTCAATTATCTCCGGCCGTTTTTATGGATCCTGAACCGTGGTCTTGGGCACCCTGCTTTATTAGGCTTTTTGGTGGTTGTGCATCTTGTAAGGGTGTGTATGCGTGCGCGCATGCGCTTGTCCTCTCAGACCTGAGTTCTTAAAGGGAAAGAGACTGGGGCCTACACAGAGGCAGGCATGTATTTTCCGCAGACCAGAGTTTGACAAGAATGACTGGACACCAGGAGAGTGCAGCCCAGTCCCAGCTCTGTGCTGAATTCAGAGCAGCCTTGGACAAGTCCCTCAGCATCTACAAAATGGAGATTAATAATACCTGTTTTGCCTTTCCAAGGCTATTCGGGGGATTCAATGAGATATTAGAAATGAAGCTTTTTGAAGGGGAATAGCACAGGGATATGTACTTTTGATGCCACCTTTTGATGCCTGGGCCAGTGATGGGTTTGGGGTAAGAATAGGGTGTGAAGAGTTCTCTGGGGGCAAAGGCTGGCACTGGCCTGACTGCCCACCCTGCCGAAGCTGCAGCATGCACAGCACAGGCAGGCACCCCACCACCAGCAGAGCAGCCAAGGTGAGCAGAGATGCCTGGTGCCCCACCTGGACTCCTGTAGGCATCTGTGTGTGCACCTTGAAGAAACTAAAGAGGGAAGGCACAGAGGCTCCCAACCTAAATGGAGGTGGTCAGTGGATTACCAGCGAATCGATCTGCACGTCTTGGCCAAAAACACTCTCCTCTGCTCTTAGGGAGCTTAAAGTCTGACTGAATGATTGAACCTGAACCCTTTGGAGAACAATGTGGAGCCAGGAAAGGGAATTGTGAATGGTAAGCACACAGGATGATCAGAGGAGGGGGAAGGGCAGGGAGGGGGCGGGGAGGGGGGGTACTTAGACCACATGGAGATGCATTTAGAGAGCATTGTGTTCAACACTCCTATTTCTTTTTTTTTTTTTTTTTTTGGAGACGGAGTCTCGCTCCGTAGCCCAGGCTGGAGTGCAGTGGCCGGATCTCAGCTCACTGCAAGCTCCGCCTCCCGGGTTTACGCCATTCTCCTGCCTCAGCCTCCCAAGTAGCTGGGACTACAGGCGCCCGCCACCTCGCCCGGCTAGATTTTTTGTATTTTTTTTAGTAGAGACGGGGTTTCACCGTGTTAGCCAGGATGGTCTCGATCTCCTGACCTCGTGATCCGCCCGACTCGGCCTCCCAAAGTGCTGGGATTACAGGCTTGAGCCACCGCGCCCAGCCAACACTCCTATTTCATAGTGATGAAACGGAGGCCCAGAGAGAGAAAGTGACCTGCCCAAGGTCACACAGTCACAGGAAGTTAGTAGCAGAGCTGGAACTTGGACCCAGGACTTCAGGAATCTATGCTGGATTTGGGCCTCCTGTGCAGCCGAGGGAGACCTGAAGTCTGGGAAGGACTGGGATACGTACCCGTGGGCAAGAAGAAGGAGGGAGGCAAAGTGCAGAGGTGGGAACCTTGTACAGCAAGGGAAAGGAGCTGGAATCACAGGCAGGATCTGGAAAGAGGGAGCTGCCCAGACCTGGAAAGCCAGGCGGAGCACTGCAGACCACAGAGGGTTTTGAGCTGACACCAGTTGGGAAGATACAGGCGTGGGAGAGGCACACGCCCAAATGACCCAGTGAGACAGCAGGTGACATGACAGCAAGGCAGCAAGGAGACAGGGAAGAGCAGCTCCAGGAGTCAGGCAACCTAATCAAATGGCCTTGAGCAAGTTGTCTCTCTTCTCTGGCCCTCAGTTTCTTTTTCCGTGGAGTGGGAGATAATCATCTTTTTTTCCTTTCAGGGTTATTGTGGTGACCACAGAATGCATTTGGAAGTGCTCTGTAAACTGCAGAGTGCTGAGTAAATTTAATATTTGGAGTTGTGTTTTATTTTCCAAAGGCCTCAGTAAACGTTCGTGGAACTGACTGACATTGGATTGAGCACTGTCTCCTCATGGCAATGGGCGGAGGGACCAAAAACAGAGGGGGCAGGGATTGGGGGCAGCCAGAGGGAGTCCTGGTGAGGGTGTGAAGGAAGGAGAGCTCCAGTCTTAAACGTCAGTCTCCCTCTGACATCTTTACAACATAACTCAAAAAGCCTTTTGCGGGGGAAACAGTCCTACCCCAATCCATGTGACTCAAAATGCCCCATCTCTCCCTTTGCCTGTGTGTTCAAGGGGCGCCATATCAGACATCACTTTTCTATGTGTTCTTCACCCATCCCCACTGGCCGTCTACTCCTCAGGCGCTCACCAGCTCCTCCCAGGTGGGCCCAGATGTCGTATTTGTTTACAAGGCCTTGTTGGATAGTCGAAACGGTACTACGGAAACCATCGCCCTCAGCTAATATGGTAAGACTCAGGTCCCTCACATGTGTTCTCAGCCCCCTGGCACCCAACCCTACCCCAATCCATAAGTCCGCTCCCTCCTCCCATCTCCTCGGCAATGGAGTCACCAGGGCAGGGCTTACTGTCCCACTTGGCAGATGAGAAAACGGAGGCTGGGAGAAGTGCTGGCACCTGCCCGGCCGCGCGAAACCTAGAACAGCCTCACCCACACCATCAGAGTTGCCCTGCTGATAAGGCCATTATCTCATCAGGGCTGGAAGTATTTGCCTCATTTGACAGAGGAGGAAATGGGCACTAAGGGCGAGGACATGCTTTATGGGAACTTTATGCAGAGCTTTCTTTTCTGCCACTGCATCCAGATAAGGGGTCCATGTTGCCAGTGGTTTCCCAGTGCTGCTGTGACAAATTATCATGCACAGCACCTTAAAACAACACCTGTTTACTCTCCCACGGTCCTGGAGGTTAGAAGTCCCAAGTCGGGGCATTAGCAGAGTTGTGCTCCCTCTGAAGCTTCCATGGCTCCCTCTGACTGCTGCCCATCCCTGCCCCCTGCGTTTATGGTCCCTCTGCCCACATCTGTGAAGAGACACAGTGCCCAAACCAACACCGGTCAGTTCCACAAACGTTTACTGAGGCCTTTGGAAAATAAAACACAACTCCAAATACTGAATTTGCTTATCACCCTGCAGTTTACAAAGCCACTTCCAAATGCATTCTGTGGTCATCACAATAACCCTGAGAGGGAGAATCCTTCCTTGTCTCTTCCAGCTCCTGGTTCCCAGCATCCCTGGGCTTGTGGCAGCATCACACAATCTTGCCTGTCTTCACATGCCGTCTCTGAGTGTCTGTGTCCCCTCGTCTCTGTAGGACAGCAGTCACTGGAGTCAGGATGAGCTCATCTCAAGATCCTTAGCTTAAGTGCATCTGCAAAGACCCTTTTTCCAAATAAGATCACAGTCATGGGTAGAGGAAGTTAGGATGTGGACATACATTTTGGGGATACTGTTCAATCCACATCTGTGTCTTTCCCCCAGTGGCAGCACAAAGGGGTCCAGCAAGGTCAGTTTCCTCCTTTTGTCCTTCCCTCAACTTCTCACGGTGTCAGACAGAGTCTCCTATAGCATCTTCTATCTGGTCATGTTATGGAGGAGAAAGGAGGCTAAAGCCATATAGGGTCCTTGCTGGGGGCATTGAGTTGGGGGACTTACCTCCCTCTAACTCCCTTTCCTACCACCTCACAGTCTGGCCATGGCTCTTTTTTTTTTTTTTTTTTTTCCTGTCACCCAGCCTGGAGTGCAATGGCACTATCTTGGTTCACTGCAACCTCCGCCTCCCAGGTTCAAGCAGTTCTCCTGCCTCAGCCTCCTGAGTAACTGGGACTCAGGTACCACCACGCCTGGCTGATTTTTGTATTTTTAGTAGAGATGAGATATCACCATATTGGTCAGGCTGGTCTCAAACTTCTGACCTCATGTGATCCACCCGCCTCAGCCTCCCATGTGCTGGGATTACAGGCATGAGCCACCATGCCCAGCCTGGTTATGCCTTTCTTTTTTTTTTTTTTTTTTTTTGAGATGGAGTCTCGCTGTGTCTCCCAGGCTGGAGTGCAGTGGCGTGATCTCGGCTCACTGCAAGCTCCGCCTCCCGGGTTCACGCCATTCTCCCGCCTCAGCCTCCCAAGTAGCTGAGACTACAGGTGCCCGCCACCACGCCCGGCTAGTTTTTTTTTTTTTTTTTGTATTTTTAGTAGAGACGGGGTTTCACCATGTTAGCCAGGATAGTCTCGATCTCCTGACCTCGTGATCCACCCGCCTCGGCCTCCCAAAGTGCTGGGATTACAGGCTTGAGCCACCGCGCCCGGCCAGTGGTTATGCCTTTCAAAAGGACCCTTGATGCCCCTTCCTCTAACATCTTCCCATCATGGGGTCCCTATGGAAAGACACCCTTTCTGGTGAATAGGCTCAGAGAAAATGCCTGTTCTCCCTGCTCACCCCACCTGTGCCCCCAGCCCTTCTTCTGATGCCCAGGTCCTGAGAACCCCTTTGCCAGGAGCCACAAAGCTTTGAATTCCATGTGGAAAGCACAGACTTTCAGGCAGAACCCCTTGGGGCAGGGGACATTGCGACTGGCATGGATCCCCAGGTGTGACCCTGTCTTGAGAGCAGGATTGAGGGAGGTGGAGCATGGGAAGCTGGCCCTTGGAGAGTGTGTGTCAGGGTGAAGATGCTGAGACAGGAGGAGGGTGACTTGCCTTGGCCAGGGAGACAGATCACAAGGGCCTGTCATGTCCGGTACTTGAAGGAAGCCCCAGGCGTGCCCTGTGCCAGGTGGGCTCCTGAGGGCCAGTAGCCATCAAGGACCAGAACACTCAGCAAGGCCTTCAGGGCCATCTGACCCAGGGAGGAAAGCTGCTTGCAGAGAAGCATAGATGCAGTGAGGGGACCAGCAGGCTTGTAGCATCCAGGTTGTCTCGGTGCCAGCTTCCCAGGCCCAGGCAATATCTTTACAGCAGCCGAGGGCCCGCGGTGGCTCTTGGGCAGCCCCCTGCTTGCAAAGGGGGACCTGGGGAGCTGGGCTTGAAGCAACAATGGCATAGAAGCAGGCTGTTTCATTTAGGTGGAGGGTTTAATTGGGGTGGCTTGGAGGAGGGTGATTATAGAGGCCTCTATGAAGGGGAGTTAGCCCACCCTCCCCCGCATGCATCCTGGTCACCCACAGTAATTTCTGTTTTATCCTGTTAGCTTAAGAGAGTCTCTGTTCCTGCATCCCTAATTGCCCTAATAAGAAAACATAACATCTGGCCCATTGGTTCTCAATCCTGGCAACAAGTTAGCATCCGACACTATTTAATTCGAATATCTAGAGGTGAGGCCCACGTCTGTTTTAAGGCTCCCGGGGGATTCTGATGTGCAGCCAGCGGGGAAACCCCCAGGTAGTCCCAACTACCTCGGCCTGCTTGATTCTTGGGGCACCTTGAGAGGTGAGGCCACGGCTGCTTCCTTACCACCTCGCTCCTACAGTGCTCTGGGTCGGGCCCAGCACACAGCAAAGACATATAAATGTGTATGTGTGGACACATAGAGCCTTCTACTGCCACTCCAGCAAATTCTTCCCAGCAGCAATCGCAATTGCACTTACTGTCTGAATCATGGGCCATCAGTTACACAGTGCTTGCTGCTTCCCTAGGTTTCTCCTTGTTGTCTACGCCCTTTCTCTTAATGAGTGGATGCTGCAGATGCTGAGGCTGTCACCACTCAGGGAGGAACAGGAAGGAGGCAGCACCTTCTGGCCAGCTTCTGGGATCTGCTCTCAGCCTGAAGCCACTGCCTCTCCTTTAGGGCTAAAGTCCTTTAAGGATTGCTCCAAGCAAAACTTCCACCGCCCCGGCAAGCACAGAGACTCCTTCCCTGATCCCAGCTCCCTCTCAACCCTGAGGTACCAGCAGTCTGCAAGCCCCACGCAAAACCTCTACTAGGCAGTCTCTTTCAAGAGTCACAAAAATACTCATCACTTTCATCCAGCAGTCACACACCTGAGAAGGCAGTCCGTGGAAAGAATCCTCAGAAGATGAAAAAGCCCTTTGAACAAAGCAGCAACCTAAATGCGCGACTCCAGAGCGCTGGTGAGCAACAGCAGGCTCATGTTAAAAGCTAATTGGGAAAACTGTGGCAACGTGGAGAAATGCTGATGATATGGTGTTCGGTGCAAATTGCACTGGGCCGGAGCCCAGCTATGAGAAAATTGTGTGTGTATGAATGAGAGATGGAGGGGAATTGCAAAAATAAAAAGAAAACCAAATGCCCATTTACTAGGTTTGGGGGATTGTGAGTAATTTCTTTTCTTTTCTTTTCTTTTTTTTTTTTTGTGGTGTTGTTATAATATTGTTTGCGCGATAAATATTTTATATGAATAAATAACAATGATAATAATTGGTTGTATATCCAGGGAAGCCTCTCGAATGCACCTATTCCAGCACAGGTGTAAATGAGCACCAGGGAAGCCTCTGGAATGCACCTATTCCAGCACAGGTGTAAATGAGCACGGGTCCTCACATGGCTGTCTTTCTGCAGTGTTTGCATTTGAAAGAAGGCTACGTCGCAGCCAGGGTGACAGCTATTTTATTTTATGTATTTATTTATTTTTGAGTCAGAGTCTCACTCTGTTACCCAGGCCGGAATGCAGTGGCATGATCTCCTGGCTCACTGCAACCTCTGACTCCTGGGTTCAAGCGATTCTCGTGCCTCAGCCTCCCAAGTGGCTGAGACTACAGGTGCTCACCTCGAGGCCTGGTTGATTTTTTTTTGTATTTTCAGTAGAGACAGGGTTTCACCATGTTGGCCAGGCTGGTCTTGAACTCCTGCCCGCAAGTGATCCTCCTGCCTTGGCCTCCCAAAGGGCTGGGATTACAGACGTGAGCCACCATGCCCGGCCGGTGACAGCTATTTTGTTACAAGCGGGGGAAGGCCCTGAGCTCACCACTTGTAGCCCACCCTTTTCCCACACAGCCACCCACAGGACCACCAGCCTTCCTAGCTCAGTGCAGTATCCTTTGTGCAAGGCAGGAAGGGGCAGACAGTCACGGAGAGCTTACAGGCAACTCAGGCTCCGAGCCTCACTTTCTCTGGGCGGTATTTTACTCCATATTAAGAATATCTGGGCTGGTGCAGGGGCTCATGCCTGTAATCCCAGCACTTTGGGAGGCCAAGGTGGGTGGATCACGTGAGGTCAGGAGTTTGAAACAGCCTGGCCAACATGGTGAAACCCTGTCTCTACTAAAAATACCAAAATTAGCTGGATGTGGTGGCATGCGCCTGCAATCCCAGCTACTCGGAGGCTGAGATAGGAGAATCGTTTGAACCAGGGAGGCGGAGGTTGCAGTGAGCCCAGATCATGCCATTGCACTCCAGCCTGGGTGACAGAGTGAAACTCTGTCTCCAAAAAAAAAAAAAAAAAAAAAAAATCTGTAGGGTCAGATGGGGATACTTTGAAAGAGTAAGAAGGGGGCCGAGGGGCCACAACTTGTATAAGGCAGGGCTGAGAGCTGAACCCAGGTAGTCTCAGCCAAGGGCAAAGGCCTTTTCCCCTCTGTTTCTGGGTCTTCCCCCTGAGATGGGGGAGGGGATAAGTGACCAGTCGCTATCCTGAGCCTCCTCTGCAGCAGGCTGGAGGGCTGTGGACTCTTCTAGGGCTGAGACAGGGTGCTGACCCCAGGGGGGAGGGGGCTGGCGCTGGGCCTGGGGCTTTCTTAACGTCTGGGTGTGGACGTTTTGAAGTTGTGTTCTCAGGAAAGGCTGGAGGAAGCCTCCCTGTGTTCTCTGTTCCCTTCCAACTCACAAGAGTAGGAAGTTCTCCCTGGCTGCTCTCCTGGGGCCTGGGCTGGCCTTGCTGGCTGCGGGGCAGCTCAGGGCAGGCTGAAGGACCCTATGACATACGCAGTCTGCTCAGGGTGTGGAAGTCAGATTTACACAAAACATTCCATGGGAGAGGAAGGCTTCACTTTGATAAGAGGATTTAAAGTGAGAATAACCGCCAGTGTTTACCAAGCTCTTACTACAAGCTAGGTGCCAAGAGCTTTGTAGGATCAGTATCTCATGTGGTACTCACCAAACTCCATGTCTATCACCATCCCATTTTATAGATTGGAAAGTTGAGGCTGTGATGTCTACAAGATCACACAGCTGGATCTCAAATCAGGACTGGTCCAAAGTTTTTGTTCTCAGTTGCTGTCTCCCGCCCTGAGGCCCACTGGCCCCCAGCCGTGACAAGCCTGGGCGTGAACTACCGTCTAGGTTTCACACGGTTCTTAGTGCTGCTTCTCTTAGTAATCAGAGAGTACATTTAGATTTTCAAAAATTAAATATAGATACAATTCTTCCTGGAACATATATGCTCTGAATTCACTACCACATATATCCTATAGCTAATGTTCCAAACAGAACTCCTATTCACTTCAACCAGCCAGTCCGAAGGCTCTTACAGGATCGTGTCCTTGAGGCAAAAATGGTGAATATTCAGATGCTGTGAGGAGCAGGCATTTTGTCCACTGTTCTTTTGGGAAATATAGAGTACTTCTAGTCCATTTCATAAATTAAACCAGAAGGGACCACAGACATCTATTGGCTATTCTAGGAACAGTAAGATCGTAAAAGGGTAAGTGACTTGCTTGTCACTTCGTGAATTAAAGGCTGACTTTGCATTTGTTGCCACCTGCCCAGCTGGGGTTTCTCCCTCTTTAAACATTTTTGTGCAGCTATTTTGGAGGCAGTTTCTGACACTTGTATTAGAGAATCCCTTTGGGTCCAGCTTGTCTCATGCCTACCCTACACAGTTTATTTTGGTTCTGTTGTAAAAATCCAAGCTTAAAAGCTTCTATCTAACACCCCCATCTGATGAGCCGTGTGGATTTCCCGGGCTCCAACGAGAGCAGCAGCCACTGGGAATCTACTAAAAGCAGTGTTCGCCAACTTCCTGGCTATTAAGTAACTTTCTGAACCATAGCTGGATTTGAGAACACTCCTGAAATCCCTGCTAAATATTTTAGCATGGGGAGGGAGTTGCAAAAGAGAGGGAGAAGATAATCGAGGGCTATGTAAATATTTAATTTAGCCCCAAGCTGGTAGCCTTCATTACAGAACATTAACGTCTTTATCATAATATTCCCAGGTCTAACTAATGATAAACAACCTTTCTCAGGCTCACTATCAAAACCTCCGATCAGAAGTCTCCAGCCAGAGCCTGTTTCTGTTGGTCCCAGGTTCTGCTTCCTCCGTCCTGCCAGGTCGCATACTCCTTCACCTCCCCGGCATGTCCTTGCCACCAGGGGTGGAATGGGAGGAGGGACAGATGCTTATAGACATGGAAACTGAGGTTTAAAGGATCAGGGAAGCTGGTGAGTGCCAGAGCCCAGGTTTCCTCATCTACATCCTGAGCATTTTCTGTCCCAGTTTAGGCACTGCAGGGAGGCCTCCCAATGACTCCTGCCTTCTCTGAGATCAGTTCTCCTGCACTGAATGACTAAAGAGAGTCAGCATATCACACAGAAAGAACTGTGTGAAACCTAGAGGGTAATTCACGCCCAGGCTTGTCATGGCTGGGGGCCAGTGGGCCTCAGGGCGGGAGACTGATCTCAGGCGAGCCAGAATCAAAGCCAGCACCCAGCCCACTCCCCAAGCCCAGGTCTGAATGCCAGCTCCCCATGCAGCCTACTTCCAGCAGCAGCATCTACACCCTCATTCACCACTCCAGGGCCAGGCACTTCATGTCCTCTAATTCTCAGGACGACCTGGCGAGGCTGCTGTTACCATCCCATACGCAGGAGGAAGTAACCAAGGAGGCTCATAGTGGTTAAGTAGCTTGTTCCAGCTCACACGCTTGGCAAGTGGCTGAGTCAGGACTTCAACCAAAAGCCCATGTTGTCTTGGTGCGCCTAGACACCATACCTACCAGCCAGGACCCCAGAAGCCCCTTCACTGCTGACCTCCACAGCGCTGGCCTGGTTGCCCCACTGCCTGTTGGTGCTGCCTGTGGAGCTGGGTCCTGAGGGCAAAGCCTCAACCCTGAGCCCCACCTTGAATTGAAGGACTCATGCATTAGGGAGCACTGTGGGGCCTCAAGGCCTTTGACCTGGAGCATTTGATCCAGGTCAGATGCTCACAGGTGGACCAGGGCTCAAGGGGAGAGAAGGGGAGGCTTCATTTGACTCCTGATTTCTTTGTTTATTAATTCACTCATTCATTATTTCTCCAGATCCTTGCCTAGCATCTGCTCTGTACAGGGCATGTGCTAAGTGCTAGAGACACGGTGTGGGGTAGATAACAGCTTCCAAAGATGTTCACGTCCTGATCCACAGATCCTGTATGTTACCCTGCATGGCAAAAAGGATGTTGCAGATGTGATTAAGTTAAGAATCTTGAGATGGGAAGGTCATCATGGATTATCAGGGCAGGCCCAGTGTAATCACAGGGTCCTTTTAAGAAGGACGCAGGAGGATCAGAGTCAGAGAAAGAAGTGTGGCGACGGAAGTGGAGGTCAGAGCAATACGGCCGTGAGCCAAGGGATGCCAGCAGCCTCTGAAAGTTGGAGAAGGCAAGGAAACGAACCAACCCCTAGAGCCTCCAAGAGGAACACAGCCTAGCCAGCACCTTGGTTTTAGCCCAGTGGAACTGCTTTCAGATTTCTGATCTCCAGAACTATAAGTTAATACACTTGTGTAGATTGAAGCCACTACTTTTGTGGTGATTTGTGATCGCTACAATTGGAAACTAACAAATAGCAAGATAAATGAGATGCGGTCCCTAGCCCTAGGGAGCCCTTTATGGGACCACAGCAGAATACCCTGGAGGGCTGTCCATCAGCTGGAGGACACAAATGATGCTGGGCCCCACCCACAGAGCTTCCGATTCAGTAGGTCTGGGTTGGAGCTGAGAGGCTGCACTTCTCAGAAGCTCCTAGGAGAGCCGCTGCTTGGGAACTACATTTTGGGAACCACTGACGTAGGGCCGTGGGCCTCAAACTTTAATGTGCCTTCACCTGTCTGGGGAATCTTGCTAAAATGCAGGTTCTGAAGTGAATGGGCTCATTGATTTGTGGATGTGTCTATTGCCTGACTCCTCTGTTAGAGACTCCTGGGGAGTCTCCATAGGAGCATCTCCTACAAAAAGGGCTGAATGATGCCTGGAGGGTGGGCTCAGATATACGTCTATGTTTTTCTCTCATCTTAAATAATTTATAAAAATAATATGTGTGGGCTGGAAAATATTTAGGAAAAGTCTGAGAAATAGAAAGAATAAAAATGAAATTTCTATAATTGCC